AGTAACCAACCAGTGTGCTGTGACATAAGTGAAATACAATTTATGAAAATGGCAATCAGAATTCCAATCTGTTGCTATGAATGATTGTCTTGCCAAATAATGACATGTATTGACATTGCTGCTGAGCTATCATTGGCATGTTATACAGACATTGAGATTTTCTAAGCAAAGTTACTGGAAGTCATTCAAATATTTATAATGGTGTAATGGGTGAACTGGAGACTTTCTCTTTCAAAAAAAAATTTGTTCCAAACTCCTTGATGAGAAAATATTTGGAATAAAACGCAACAGATTTATATACAGACTTATATGGCCGAAATTGATTTTTGTTTCCTTGGGAATTTAAGAATCTTTTTAATAGTTGAGAGCTGGTGTACAGCTGCAAGAGGTTGGCTTAGTACGGAGCCAATATTTATGCTTTCTTGATAGAACAAATGAGAGTTCTCGCTCTGTTTTCTATCTTACTTATGTTGAAAGCCTGGCAACACTGGGATATGATACTTGCTTCTCCAAAATGTTTCTGAATTGTACACTGTTTTGTATTTAATCTTGAAGCTGCTTTATTTATAATATTATTAAACCTCAAAGAAACCCATATGGTGGAGAATAATGGAGAAATTTTGTGATGTCACTGTTTTATTCTTCTTTAATAGAATTTATGTGAAACTGAAAATCATTCAACTTTGTGTTTTTATTTTCAAGGAGTGTGTCCATGTCTTGCAACGGGATGGCTTAAGCAGACGGAGTAATTACAGTATGCAGTACGTTTTATGGCTGACATATAATTGCAGAAATCGCTCTTTTTCTGACAGGTATGTGAAGGTTCATATCGATACTTGTTATCTCTGTATTTAAATATAGCAAACCCAGCCTTGAAAAAATGCCAACTACGTTTCCGCAAATTCAGATCAAGCACTGTTGTTGCCAACAGCCCCCACTTCTTAATAATTTCTAGGTTCTCTCTAACCTTACTTACTTATTCATACTGCTTATCATTTGCTTACTATATTGAGGACCTTCTTAGGACCAGTATTATACTTGTGTTTTACCTGGATATTGTGTGTACAGGTACAGTAGTGCTCTGACACATGATTGATAACCACTTAAGCAAATATTATGTGTAACTGCTGAAAATATAGAATTTGTCTGTAGGAAAATTAATTTATGCCTCTTGGACCCTAGGTCTCACCAGCAGAGTTTTGACATCATATGCACCATCTTTTAGCATGCATAGCAGGAATCCAACTGGTCAGTGTGATGTAGTGGTTAAAATCATGGGCATTGGTACCAGACAGCCTTGGTTCCAGTCCTTGTTCTACTGCTTACTACCTGTGTGACCTTGAAGCAGACAATTTAAGCTTCCTATGTTCCCATTTCTTATGTCATAGAACTGTTGTGTGGATTAACTCAGAGAGTGCTTGGGAAAGTATTTGGTGTCCAGTAGGTGGTCAATGTATGGTAGCCACCATTGATATTCTCTAGGCCCTTTTCATCACCTGTAAATGGGTGCAATAAATAAACCTTACAGAATTTCTGTTATGGGGAAGGCTAGAGGTTCCATGAGGTCAAGAATATGTCTTTTCATTACTGGATCCTAGCACATGGCATAGATGCCTGTCATACAAATGAAAATATAACTGACTGAATATATATATATATATAAAATGCATTTGTCACAGTGCCTGGCACATAGCAAGTGTTCAAAAATGAGGGCTGTTTTAATATTTTTAACTATTTTATGGAGTTCACTAATAGAACTTTAATTCAGGCCTGACCTCGGTTCATAATACTGGGAAGTCTTTAGCGAGAAGTCTTCATTCCCTAGAACTAAGACCTCGGGGAAGCTCCTTCCAAGGCCATTATGGAGTAACTCCTTAGGCCTTGACTAGAAAGGAGTTAGCGGTAAGAGCACTGGGCCAGAAGTCCAGTGGATTTAGGATTCTGGCTTAACAATTTCCTAGTTGTGTGGCCGTAGACAAGTCATTTCACCTCTTGAGTTTGTTCCTTCAATTTTACAATGAATGGTTTGGATTGAAAATCCTCTTTTAACTTTGGATCTCTATAATTTTAGAAGTTATATTATAACTCTTTGTTCCTGAACATATGAACAATGTTTATGGCTTATTCCACTCATATGTAGCATGCCTATTACACACACACGTGTGTGTGTGTGTGCATGCATGTGCACAAATGTGTATTATGAGTCAGCAGTGCCTGCTGTGAATGTTTTAATCCAATACAGGAACTTTTCTTCTGGAACAATTAATTCTTCTCTCCATTTATACCTTTTTTGGCGATGCCTGCATGCATGTTATTTAGATTTGGCATCCACATTAGATTAGAAATTAGAAATGTTCTAAAAAGAAGACTTGATTAAGAAAAATGAATGACTTATTTTGTCCATTCCAGCCCAGTGTGGTTTCCCTCCTCCACACTCATCCAGTTTGTCTTGTCTGTGCCAGTTATTTGCCATTTCTTAAACATCCAACTGGTCAGATGCAAGAAGAGCTATCACTTACTAAGGACCTGCCATTTGCCAGACACTATGCTAGGAAATTCTCTAATTCTTTCAACAATCCTCAAAAATTACAGATGAGGAAACTGAATTTAAGTGCTTAAGTAGGTTGCCAAGTTCAAACCACAGTAACTGATGGAGCCAGAATTTGAACTTGGGTCTGTCTCATCAAAGTCAGTGCCTTTCTACTCTACTGTCTTTCAAACAGCTTCTTGCCTTGTCAAATCCCAACAATCAAAAAATTTCCCTGGATATAGATCTGTTTGTTTTGTTTATTTAAACCCTGCCCCTCCAAACACACACACACACACACACACACACACACACACAGTTGTGAACATAATAGATGCTCAGTAAATGTATGTTGGGTAAATGGTAGGAAAAAAGGACACACTGGGCCTTCTTCAGTTTGTGGCCTCATTTCTCAGAGTTCTTCGCTTAGATCAAAACAGGAAGTGATAAAGTTGTCTCATGAATACAAATCGTGGAGTTGTGGAAAGTGCAAAACTGGCTCAAAGACATTAAGGAAGTCAAAATTTGTCCTCATTACTTCTTTCCCAGCATTCACAGACCTAAACTTCAGTCACCCCATCCTATGCAGCCTCTATAGACAGCAACCTGATTAGCCTTGTCCTAACCAGGGGCAAAAATTCCTAGACTTTTTCGTATTCTACATCAAAGAGTTTTTCTTGGGGCTTATTAACGTATATTTTAGAAGAAGTTGATCAGTTCTTTGGTATTATTACCACATATATATTTTGAAGACTACAAAAGTAAAAGATTGAACAAGCCATTATTTCTGATCACAGAATTGAAAGAGCTCATACTTAAAAGAGGGTAATAAATGGAATTTTAGAATCTTCTTTACTGGGTACTCCTTTGAAAAGTAGGTAGCCATGATCAATCTAGGAAAGTTGCGTTAAACTTAGCATTTGTATTAGGCAAGTTTAAACTGACAACTGTAGCAAGCAGTCTCCAACTTCCAGAAGTTTTACATAATAAAAGTTTATTGCTGCCTCATGAGATAGTGTAATAGAAGTATTCTTGGTTATCCAATGATCCCCCAAATAGTATCTCAGGGACCCAAGTTCTTTCCCTCTTGTAGTACCACCTCTTCTAGATCTTCAGAGTCTTCTCCATTAAGCTGCAGGATAGAGATTGGAAGAGTGGAAGATTAGCAGAAAGTTTTTATAGACCAGGCTTAGATACAGATCACTTTCTGCCCACATTTCATTGGCCAGAATCCAGTCATATGACCATATCTAACTACAAATCTAACTGCAAGGAGGGCTAGGAAAGGTAGTCTAGCTGAGTGCCCAGTAAGAATAGGAACTGGTGTAGAGTGAACACATAGCAGTCTCTGCCTCAGCTCTACATGTGTACTTCCTATCCAGCATCATGGGGTTAGCAGCATTCCACGTAAAGGGCCAATAAATGGTTGCTCTTGTTACAACTGGTACATCTGATACAATCAAATAACCATTATCTGAGCCTATATGGAGCAAAGCCAAGTGTTAATTATGGGCTGGGATAAATAAGACATGATCTCAGCCCCTAAGAACTTTGTACTTAAAGTTCTCCAAATTGGAGAAGAATAAGATAAGGATAAAATAGAGGCAAAAATCTTTTGTAGCATACATCTCATATTAGGTCTGTATGCCCTAACTTTAAGCCACTCAGGACTGAGACCTGATAACACACCTTTGTGTTTGTGTTCTTTATTCAGTGCCTGGCATATAATAGGTATTATAGAAGTGTTTTTAAAGTAATGAAAATAAAGAACCATGTTGGAGGAGTGCAGAGAAGGAAATAATTACTTATGACCAGGAGTTGTTATAAGTTGTATACTGTACAACTCTAGGAGGCTCTTGTAGTCATTGTGAATGGCTCTCCTCATAGTTGTATAGTACACAAACTGCGCAGTTGTGTATGGAAGCTCTGGGCAGAAAATGCATCCAAGAGAACATGAAAATTGAACTGGGCTTGAAATATATGAAGGATTTCTACATGTAAAGAAGAACAAAGGCATTCTATACTGAAGAAAGAGCCCATTCAGAAGCAAGAGTCCTGGAATGGTGGCTAGTAGGCCAGGTAGCTGGGAGTCATGTTGAGACAGGGAGGCAATGAAGAAAGCTGAAGTTACTTTGTTGCTCAAGAATGAATGGTGTTGATCACCCACACTGAGAAGTGTGAAGTGACATGTTTGAGGAGGATCATTCTGGCCATCAGTTGGGAGATGGACTAAAGAAATGATAAAGAAGGAAACCACGTAGGAGGCTACTACCATATTGTAGCTGAGAGATGATCAAGAGCTTGCTAGCATAAACACAGAGTGAATAGGAAGAAGAGGACAAAAAGGACTTTGTGACTTATTGGCTGACCCAGGTGAGAGAGAGAAGTGAAAATTACTCCAAGGTGACTTGGTAGATAGCGGAAGCAATTAATCACAAAAGAGAATAGGAGTTTTAAAAAGGGAGATGATATGTTCAGCTTTGTATATATTATATTTGAAGTGCTACATCTACATAAATACTTGGTCCAGAACTCAGGAGAGAGGTGAGATGATTTCTAAACTATCAGCCCATGGATAGTAACGAACCAGATAGACCAGGTAGACAGTATAGAGCAATAGTTCTTAACAGGCTTGCGTGTATGAATGAGGAGAGGGGGATTGGTCTTGGTTACCTATCACTGAGTAACAAATACAGTACCCTCAAACTTAATGGCTTAATACAGTCATTTACTTTCCTCATAATTTTGTGTGTCAGGAATTTGGGAAGGACTAGGCTAGATTTATTCCACATGGCATTAGCTGTAGTGGCTGGGCCTGGAGGATCCACTGTCAAGATGATTGTTTATTCATATATGGTGCCTCAGTGCTCTACACATGGGGTCTTGTCCTTTCGAGTGCTCCATGTGGCTTGTATTTCTCACATCCTGGTTATCTCAGGATATCTGATCACATTTCTTACAAGAGGCAGGAGTTAAAACGACCAGGTCAGTAAAGGGCTATGCCCCAAACTGGCAGTGTCACTTATATTACACTTTACAGGGCCTGGCCATATTCAAGAGATTGAGAAATAGATTCTACTTCTTGATGGGGAAAATGGCACAGTCTCATTGCAGAAGGGCATGTGGGATGGGAAATACTAAGGGCCTTCTTTGGAAAATACTGTCTGCTATCGGAATGTCCATCAAAGTCAACTGAGGAACTTGTTCAAATTATGGCTGTTATGCTTCCAAGTTTTAAATAGTTTCCACAGGGGATTCTGATTCACATCCCCAGCTAAGACCCTC